AGGGTTGAGGGACCCACTGTGGGCGAGATAAAAATCCCTTGGCAGGCTGGATGCAGCCTGCGGGCCATATTTTGCCTACCTCTGCCTTCATACCATGCAGCCCTACAGTGAAAAAGGACACTATTATTAGAAGAGCCTTTTAGTACAGATGCATGCTTCACAGTCTCCAACCCTGACCATACTGCTGAAAATATTTCTCTAAAGTGTCCCTCATCCGAGACCAAATTTAACTTCAGCCCAGACTATTGCAATGTTACGTTCCCCAGCATGGTTACTGGGGTAAACTATTAACATCAGAAAAACCACTGTAGGAAACAGAAGTTAGAGCAGACACAAGTAAGTTCTGCATCATTAGGCTTCCTGCTTTGATACAGTTTTAACCTGTCTCCCACTTGAGTCTTTCCACCATTTTATTTCCCAAAATTTAGCTTCACTAAGGAGACTGTGCCACCAATGGGCTTTTGTAAAGCAAAGGGCTATCTGACCTTGCTAAATAAATAATACTACAGATGGGCCTGAAATGCAACCTTCATTCAATAAACAGCCATCTGCCCTGATTGACAGCTGTGAGCTTCAACCTCTCCCAACCCATCGCTGGATGAGATTCAGTCCCCAGAGAGCTATTAGGAATTTAGGGACACAAGCTGGAGAAAGCTCTCTTGGGTCGAGTCCAACATTGTTTTTTAGCTTAAACGGTTCTTCTCTCTTGTGGGAGTTGATATATTTATAAAGCAATCCCATCCCCTTTCAGCCTTCATTTTGTTAGGCTAAGTGAGCCAAGCTCTTTTAATCCTGTTTTGGACCCAGTTTTTACATGTCCAAGATGGCAGAGATTTCATTTTATGCTTTGGTTCTGAACTCAGTCTCAGGTTTTGGAGCCAAAACCTTATAAATCTGCTTGCTGGGGTTTGACACCGTATGGGTTGTTCAGGCCTTAGAACTACATAGCACTGGTAAAAAAGAAAAAAAAAAAAAAAGAAAGAAAAAGCAATTATGAAAGTTAAGCACATACTTCAGTGATTTATTGAATAGGGCCTAAAAACTGACCTTTGGCTCCAGCGAGCATTTAGGGCATAAAGCACTTGGAGGTTCATCTCATAATTATTCATGGCGCTGGACAGAACAGAATAGGCGATTTCCAAAAAACACTATTAAACTTTTCCTGACTGGGAGCATCTAAGAATACAACTGATCTCACCACAGTGGCTTGGGGGAGGGGAGCATGAGACCTAATGTTTCTGTAGAAAACTTCAATATGGATTTTCCTCTTTCACCAAAGCACCGGCACTTAGAGTGCTTCGGAAAGCCAATTAATATACAATACTAGACGCCACACAGCTGGCATAAGTTAGGAGGATTTTTGCTATCAGCCCTTTCTCTACTCATCTTGTACTTCACCTGATATTATTATAAATATTAGGTACCGTGTCCCCAGGCCTTGCTCTGCAGTGCCAAGCAGCCACTATACCAGGGGTGGGCAAAATACAGCCCGCGGGCCAGATCCAGACTGCCAAGGCCTTCCATCCAGCCTGCAGCAGGTCCCTCAGCCCCACCCAGCCTAGGCGTGGAGGGCAGCCTGGGCCAGGGTGCATGCAGCTGGTCCTACTGCCCCTGGGTGCAGTGCGGCTGGGGTGGTGCAGCTGCCAGACTCCACTTCCTGGCATTGGCTGCTCCTTCTAGCTGCTGCAGCTGCCAGACTGAGCCCTACTGCCTGGGCACCCTGGCCTGTCCCCCCCTCACCCATCACCAAGGGGCACCCAATGAAGTGGGTGGGATGGGGGTCTCCATGGAGACTATTCTGGGACCTGTGCAGGCAGGGTGTGCTCAGCCAGGTAGGTGGGATGGGGCTGCAAGCGGGCGGGGAGAGGCCTCCAGGAGTGGGACGGGTGGGGAAGGCCAGGGCCAGGATCGCAGGGTGGTGACAGCTCAGGGCTCAGGCCAGGGCAGAGCCACAATCTGCTGCCTTTACAGCCCTGCAATGGGCACCAGTTCTGCGGGTATGTGCCTACCAGGAGCGTAACACAGCTTTGTCCTGGGCCTGGGCCCTGGCCTTACGCTGTCACCACCCCATGATCCCAGCCCTGCCCTCCCACCCATCCCAGTCCTGGACACCACTCCAAGCCCGCCAGTAGCCCCATCCCCTTCCTTCACACCAGACT